TTTTTTTTTTTATTCATGGAATATAAGAAAATTGTCATTAAGCTAACAGAACACAGAATTCAGTTGCCATACATGACAGAGAATTTAGACTTTATGAAAATAGTTTAGAAAAATCACTAACCAGGCGGACAACAACCTACAACAAGCAGCAACAATAAACCCTGGGGATGAAGAAAAATCTGATTTCCAGAGTTACAACATTATAATATTCAAATATCCAATTTTCAACAAAAAATTATTAGGCATGGAAAGAAACAAAGGTTGGGTTAGTCACCGGAAAAAAAAATAATAAAGGAAAATCCATAAGGAAGCCTAGACATTGGACTTTATAAAGAATTTAAATAAACTCTATTAAATATGCTCAAAGAACTGAGGAAAACCATGGATAAAGAACCAAAGGAAACTAGGATAGAAAATGTTTAACCAAGTAGCTAATTATCAATAAAGAGAAATAATCAAAAAGAACATAATAAATTATAGAGTGCAATAATTGAAATGAAAAATGCACTGGAGAGGTTCCAGAGCAGATTTGAGCAGGAAGAACATTTAAGAATCTGTGAAATGGTAGATAGGCCAATTGTGATTGTCCATCTGAGGAGCAGAAAAAGAAATGAAATAAAAATGGACAGAGGCTAAGAGACCTATGGAATACCATCAAGCATACAAACAGACATAAGGGGAGTACCAGAGGAAGAGGGTATAGATAAATGGATAGAAAGAATATTTTAAGTAGTAATGGCCAGAACATCCCCAAATTTGATGAAAGACATGAATCTACACATCCAAGAAGCATAGTGAACTCAAAGAAGGATAAACTGAAAAGAGATCTATACCAAGGCACATCATTGTCTAATTGTCAAAATAGAATCTTGAAATCAACAAAAGAGAAATGATTTGTCAGGTACAAAGGATCCTCATTAAGATTTCATGCTGATTTCTCCTCAGAAACTGCGGATGCCTGGGGGGCAGTGGGATCGTATTCAAAGTGCTAAAAGAAAAAAAAAACCTATCACTCAGGAATTCTGTATCTCATCTAGATGAAACGATGGGTCTTTCCTCATTCACAGCAAAGAAGAATGAAGAAAACCAAAGATTCATGGAAACAATTAGTCCTTGTGACTGGTACACCATGCGATTCACAGCCTATATGACTATGAGACCAGAAATAGATGGTGCCCAGCTACCAATGTCAACCACTGGGGGGAGGGGGCGCTATGTAGGAGATCCTGGATAGAGAGGGAAAACAATGTGGAACAAAACTCAAAATCATTTGGAAAAAAAAAAAAAAGTGGGACCAGATGTGCTGCTCTGACAGAGCCTGGTGGAACCACTGAGACTATGGCCCCTAGCTGCCCTTCAGGTCTGGAATTGAACCTACACCTCTGGCTTCCAGCCAAACAGAAGGCAGGCATATGAGTTGAACATTTACCTGAAGTAGATACACTCCTTGGAGAGAACAATCATGGGAGAAAGAAGGGCTGTTTATGCACAGGGAGACAACTCGGGGCAGGAGTGCATGGAGGGATGGACACAGGAAGAGGTAACTATCTGGAGGAAGTGGGAGAGGGGGGCTGTTGTATTGTGGTAAATTGTAGTAAATGCCATGAAGACAGTATATGTGAACTGCTGTATGGAAAGTGAATTTACTCTGTAAACTTTCACCCAAATCACAATTAAAACAAAATAAAACAAAACCCCAAAACCGTATCAGACAGTCGTCACATGAAATGCTGAGTTTAGAGCTCACTTTCTTTAATAAGGCAAAAGTCAGTGAATTGATTTTCAGCAGGATGGCTGAAAGTTGTCCACTTCTTCCTGTAATTTCATTTAAGTAATATCTGAATATATTAGTTTATATATTAGTAAAAAAAGAGCTCTGGTGTCATAATGTCTAAGACATTTAACTGCTAACCAGGAGGTTGGTGGTTCACACCCATCAGCTGCTTCGCAGAAGAAAGATGATGCAGGGAAAAAAAAAAAGGAATTCTGTTATCTGTATTCTGCAAAATGATCCTTCAAAAATGAAAGAGAAATCAAGACATTCCCAGATAAACAAAAACTGAGGGAGTTTGTTACCACTAGATATGCCCTAAAAGAAATACCAAAAGGAATCCTTTAAGATGAAATAAAAGGATATTAGATAGTAACTCAAAGCCATAAATTAAATAAAGAACCCTGTTAAGTAGCCACATAGGTAAATATTAAAAGCTGTATTGTATTTTTGGTTTGTAACTTCTTTTTTTCCTATATGATTTAAAAGACAAATGCATCTATGTTAATGGATACCCAATGATAAAGATGTAATTTGTAACACTAACAATATAAGGGAGGAGGTTGGTATTCAAACTAGGTTGTTACAAGTTTAAGATGTAATCTCCAACGTAACCACTAAGAAAATAACTAAAACAAAAAGAAATGAGAAAGGAATCAAAATGGTACACTACAGAAAAAAAAAATCAAACAGTAAATAAGGTAGTAATGGAGGAAGTGAGGAACAAAAAATATGTAAGGCATAGAAAACAAATAGCAAAATGGCATAAGTTAGTTTAAGCTTACCAGTTAAAAGTCAGAGTTTGAATACAAAAATATAATACATTAATATGCTGTCTATAAGAGACTCTTTAGATCTAAAAAACACAAATAGGTTAAAAGTGAAAGGATGGGAAAAGATACTCCATGCAAATAGTAATCAAGGAGCTCTGGTGGTGTGTGGTTAAGGCATTTGGCTGCTAACCAAAAGGTTAGCCACTTCACAGAAGAAAGATGAGGTAGTCCACTTCGATAAACCCTTGGAAACCCAGTGGGTTCACTATGAGTGGAGCTTGACTTAATGGCATTGTTTTTTGGCTAATCAATAGAGAGCTGGGGTGGCTATACTAATATTGGACAATATAGACTTTAAAACATATTTTTTACAAGAGGCAAAGAAGATTATTATATATTGATAAAAGGCCAATCGATCAAGATGTAACAATTTATAAACATATATGTAGCAAACCACAGAGCCCCATAATGTTTGAAGCAAATAGAATTGAAGGGAGAAATAGATAATTCTGCAATAATAATTGGACATTTCTATATCCCATTCAGTATTGAATAGAAAAACTAGATACAAGATCAATAAGGAAATAATATTATAAACCACCTAGACCTAATAGACATGTCTAGAGCACTTTACTCAGCAACAGCAGAATGTACATTTCTCTAGTGCATATGTATATTTTTTCAGGATAGAACATATGTTAGGTCACAAAACAGGTCTCAATAAATTTAAAAGGATTGAAATCATACAAAGTATCTTTTCTGACAATGTAACTAGATCTCAGCAACAATGAGAGTTAGTGAGTGATGTGAAAATAAAGTTAGGGGCTTTAGGAAGGGTAGAGGGAGAATGAAGCAACAATAAAAAGCAAAACTATTACTCCTCCTCCAGGTCCAGTAGTGTGAGGGGTCTGGGGTAAAACAACCATTTGACTTGGTTACAGTGGGAGTGGTGTTCTTAAGGAGAGCCAGGTTTTTCAGTTCTAGCAGTAACGTAAAGGGAACATTTTGAGGAGAGGTTTGGGCTACAGGGGTTTTTGCTAATGATAGATCATGAATTCCACTGGATACTAGGGAAGGCTTTCAAGAATGGTGGAAGGAATAGAACAGGGATTATGAAGAGCAATGTGGGACTCAGCGTGTGGGAGATGATATGTGACCTGGGAATCTGAGAGCTCTTGTGATTCATTTCATTGGGTTTAACAGGAATAATGAGAATAGTCCTGGTAGATTCATTTCAGGTAATGAAGTTAAATAAGGTATTGTAGGTTTGATCTGAGACCCTGACTACCATTTCTTTTTATTGGAAATTGTTTTGATAATAGCCATTTGTAAACAAACATTTGATGATTTGTCTGTTCTAAAAATTATAGTGAAGCAGAATGCCTTACTTATATGATGCATACTAGTTTGGTTAGCTTTGTATTTTATGTGTATAATGTTCTTCACAATTACGGGAGGAGCCTTACATACAAAGGTCTCATTTTCAGTGTTGAGTAGAATTAGCATATAATGTATTGCCACTCTATGCTTTTTATTTGCATTTGGCCATTTAATTTGCCATTTATTTGCCAGTAATCCTCACTTTATCCATTCATCTGACCTCAGCAGTTTAAAAGGCAGGGAAAATACTCTTAAAATTGATAGCATCAAAGATCCTTGTATTTTTGTGTAGGATCTTCAGGACTGGCCTGGAATTGACTTTGCCATATTTTAAAATGTTAATTTATTCTTCTGTAATATGTATAGGAGTCTTGGTGGTGCATTGGTTAAGCTAACCAAAAGGTTGGTGATTTGAATCCACCTGGCAGCTCTGTGAAAGATCTGGTGATTTGCTCCTGTAAAGATTACAGCCGAGGAAACTCTGAGGCAGTTCTACTCAATCACATGGGGTCACCATGAGTTGAAAATTAACAGCCCTGACAATAACAATATCTATAGACACCTGTTTTGAAGGGAAAATTAGCAGACAAGCAGATATACTTAATACAGAACTCAAGATATCCAAGTAGATGGAGAAAAGGATAAAGCAAACACAGATGGTTCTGCATTTCCACAGTTGTCAGCCTTTTCTATTTACATCTCCACTGAGAACTCCTTTAAAAAGCAAGTTAAGAAAACATACACACACATAAACCAAAACCCAGGCTAAATATTGTGCTGTGTAAGCTCACACTTAATCTATTCAGTTGTCAGATTTTATTCAGATATTAGCATGCAAATATAATGTGCCCATTCTCGAGACTTCCTCGTGCTCCTCAGAGCTGTGTTCCAATGTGCAAAGGGATGTTGATGTAATAATCTTTGTTCTGAATTCAGATGTTAGGTATGATCAGGGAGAGAAATGAGAGGTGTATTACTGGCCTAGAGATTTTTGATCTAATAGTTATTAATGGTAAAGGATATAATTTTAGTTGTACTTCATGCACTAAATACAAACTCTTTTTTTTTTTTTAAAGGAACCGAATGGAGAGACTCCATCATCTTTATACAGAGTTGCAGCAGTACTTCTGCAATTTAATCTTATTGATTTAGATGATCTTTATGTACACGTAAGTCAAATGATCTGCTAAGATTTGATTATCCATCCCAGGGGTGGGGAGGAGGAGTAGGCAGACATGTAGTACTTGAAGGTTGGTTTTAGGCTTTTAAAGTGTTAATTTTTGAAGCCTTAATACCTTATTACTTTGTGTTTATATGAATTTCTTTTTTTTTTTTTCAATAAAGTACAGAAATCAGATACCTTCTGGTCACTTTATAGAGTTTGAGTTGGATCTGAAGTTCAAGTTCTTTCTTAATTGCTAACAAGGCATATGCCTTGAGCAGAGAGGCCAAGAGCTAATCAATTGTTTTAGGCTTCTCAGTAATACACAGATTATGGGAAATATGGGATACTTACCTCTTCCTTCTCCCAAAAATGTTATTTTTAGGCATTCAAGATAAATGGGAAACTGTTAGTATATTTAAATTTTTTTGCTGTGTTTTTACTGGGTAATAAAAGGGTGGCACAGTGCCTAAGACATTTGACTGCTAACCAGAAAGTTAGCAGTTCAAATCTAGCTGCTCCATGGGAGGAAGATGGGACAATCTACTTCCATAAGATACATCGCCTTAGAAACCCAATGGGTGTTGCTAGGCATCGGATTTGACTCCATGGCAGTAAGTTTTGTTTTGGAATAAAAGAATAACATTGTGTTTTTATTGCTGGAACCATAATCTAGAATAGTATGTATGTGATTGTGATAGAGGACCTCTCCTTTGGCAGTTTAACCTATCAATTAGTAAAAACTTCAGTTTGTAGTGTAGAAATTCCTGTTTTGTTAGGTTTTACTTTATGTTATCTGTGAATGTAAATCTGTCCACATCATCTTCACTGCCTTTCAAATCACTTTCTAATTTCCCTATCATTAGTTACTGTGGCTACAGTGTTGAATGAAACCTAGTATCTGCCTTGGAAGCCACCATAGTGTAACAAGGGAGAGAAACATTTTCCATTTTGGTGTAGTGCCTGAGGCATTTGACTGCTAACCAGAAAGCTGGTGGTTCAAACCCACTAGCCACTCCTCGGAAGGAAGACTGGGCAATCTACTTCCGTAGAAATACTGCCTCAGAAACCCAAGGAGGGGTCACTATGAGTCGGAATGGTAGTGTGTTTTATATTGGAGGTCTGCACAAATTGCTGTGGGAGCTGAGTAGATAGCATCTCTGCCTAAGGAGATTTTGTAACACTTTTACAAACTAGCAATGTTGAACTGGAATCTTGATAAATGAGTAGGTGTTGGCCAGGGTTAAGTGATGGGAGCCTTTCTAAACAGAATGAACTGAGTGTAAATGCAGATGATTTGAAAGAGCTTCATTATCCCTCGAGGGGAATATGAAGAAGCTCAGAGAGGTTGGTGCCTAGGGCAGGTAGATCAGATGAGGATGGAGAAGTGGGTTGGGGCTAAATTGTGAAGGGCTTTAAATGCCGTAGGAAGGAGTTTGGATTTTTTTCTCAGGAGTAGCAAGCTATTTAAGATTTAGAGTGGAGACATGATATACAAACTGAGAATATGGAAAAGGGAGAATTTGGAGACATGTGAATGCCTTTAGAGGCAAGTGTAGACTGGTAGGACAAATAGAAAGTACGGAAATGATAGTAGATTTATTACCAAAATGTTTACGTGTAATATTTTCCCATATTCCCTTTCATTGTTTGTTTCCTCTGCATTAGCCTTAACAACTGAAATAGATTACACATTTCTAGGGGATAGGAATACTTCTTTTACAGCTCCATAGTGCCTAGCACAAGCCACTACATAATGATTTATTGGCTATATTTTTCTTTGTATTGGGATTATTTTATGAAATGTGTACATTCACTTTCTTCCACTCGAACCTTTGTCATAATAGTGTGTTGACTGTAGACATACTATTTTCTTGTTTGTTATAAAGTAGAAATTGGTTTGTGACTTAAGTCAGTTACGTATCTAGAAAATTAAAAGTGAAATGTCAAGGTGTTAATTTTTCTTAACTGAGATTTTTCATTTAGAGGAATCAAATTTACTACTTTATATAATTTAGTTGCTCACCTCTCCCTAATTAGATTTGTATACAATACTTTGTAACTTGGAGTTTGGTCTTTAAAGGGAAAACCTGGTGATATTTTAGATGCAACAGTTGCCTACTTTCTTGAGCAAGCTAGTAAATTCAGTGGTAAGCATCACTGGTATAATACTAATTTAGGACTTCCAGCAGCTAGAAGATAGGAAATTTTGAACTGCTATCTGATTTTAAGAGGTCCAGAATTCAGGTACTTAACTCTGCCAATTTATAGGAAAGTAACCAAGAGAAACTTATTTAGAAAGGAAATCATGGTCATGAGTAGACTAGACTTCTTATTTACACTTTGATCAATTGAGAGTACATAGTATTTGCTTTTTATATATGCAAGTTGGTATTAGCTGTTATATAAACTTTTGATCAACTGTTTTCAGCTTCTTCCAGCTGATAATTGCATTATGGATGAACACAAACGAGAAATAGTGGAAGCTAAGCAGATTGTTAGAAAACTTACAATGGTGGTGTTGTCTTCTGAAAAAATTGATGAACGAGAAAAAGAGAAGGAAAAAGAAGAGGAGAAAGTAGAGAAGGTGTGTAATTCATTCTAGTAAAATTATTAACATTGTGTTCTGAATTTAGAAATATCAGTTCTAATATTTAATCAATTTGTGGAATTATAATTTGTTAAACAATTTTGGTTATTATGAAACCTGGTTTTGGAGATACTCGTTTGCAAAAGAGTTTGTTTTTAATCTGATTGGCAGTTTCCCCAAAGAGGCTGCCATATTTTATCTCATATATAAATATTTAATTTTAAAACTTATTCGAAGTAAAATCACAAAATGGATTAACTTCACCCCATTTGTACTTTATATAGTAATGCCTCTCAGGTTCTAAAGAGATTCTCAAACAAAAATTAATGAGTTCTAGTTCCCTGTGATAAAATATGCCATTTAGTAAAACTTAATTTAATCCCAAGTCTGTAAACTGTCACTCTTGTGTCAGCTAAATGTACTTTCAGGAAAAAACTCTTTTGAGTTTCCCATAGATGGCAGCCATTATTGATGTATATTGTGTTGTGTGACTCATTTTTTTTAGTGAAAGTATTAAGATTTCTTGTTGTCTGTGTCTTAAGTATCTTTGTTGTGATTGTTCTTTTAGCCACCTGACAACCAAAAACTTGGTTTGTTGGAAGCCTTGTTAAAGATCGGTGATTGGCAGCATGCACAGAACATTATGGATCAGATGCCTCCATATTACGCAGCTTCGCATAAGCTAATAGCCCTTGCTATTTGCAAGCTCATTCACGTAACTCTTGAGCCTCTCTACCGAAGGTATGTTCCTGGATACTTTACAAATCATTAACGTAGAAATAGTTTGAGTACAAAAAATTTTGCATATATATCTTGTCTGCTCAAACTAAGCATGTATTTTAATACCTTTTATCAAAAGATAACTATTCAGAGAGTGTATCAGTCAATCTGATAAAGATTAATCAGTGACTTGTCTCCTAATTTATAGAGCAGGTGTTGTAAAACCTGTGCTATATTGTAGTCTTAAAAACTGTAGACTTCTAGGATGGGTTTGCTCCTTTGAGAGTGAGGACTCCATTCTTCTACTTTTGACTTTCCCTTCTCTCTGGAGGAGGGGTCAGAGAATTCCTAAGACTTTTAACAAGTTGCCCTCAAGTCGATTCCCACTCCTGGTGACCCTTGACCCTGTGTGTGTCAGTCGAACTGAGCTTCATAAAGATTTTGATGGCTAATTTTTTTTTTCAGAAGTAGAATGCTAGGCCTTTCTTCTAAGGTGCCTCTTGGTAGACTTGAACTTTTCAGATAGCAGCTGTTAACTGTTTGCATCACTTGGGGACTACTTAGGTTTTTAATTCTTACAAGACTGAATTATTTTCTGCTTTGAATTTTTTTTTATTGAAACCATGGGTTTTCAGTAATGGAAGGCATTTTGAAGGAAATGAAACAGATTTTGATTAGGTAATAATGATTTTGATGCAATGAGTGGGACACATATGTCCCAAGGAGTCTCTGGTGCTAGGGTTGGTGGGATGAGGATGAGGCTTGTTTCTTCAGATTCCCGCAGTTATATAGGCTCCCACCAGATGGCAGTATGCACTAAAAGTGGATTAGCAACTTCCCACTAAACTCCAGAAGTGGAAAGTATAGGTGGACACTGTTTGTCCTGTGGGTGACAAAAGGGTTAGGGTATTTTTCTCTCTATCTTGAATGAGAACACTGCCTACTTTGCTTGCCTTATTTCTCAGGCATATAGGCTGCTCTTGTAGAAATTGCTAGTGCAGCCTTTCTCAACATCCCTGGTTTACTGTTGACCAGTCCTCTAGGTATTACCCTACATGCAGGATAATTATGAATGGTATTGGCAGCAGCTCTGGCTTCAGCCCCACAGATCAGAGCCTGCCTCAAAAATCTCAGCCTTGTGCCTTGTGCATAGCTACTAGCTGCTTTCTTCAGTGACACCTGGGCTGTGGACAGTGAAGGCTTATTCTGGAGTGACTCCTGTAACTCCACAGCTGGACACCTGCTCAGCAGGTGAGAACTTTGGGCATGCTGTCCTTTTTAGTGTGATACCCACATCTATTATGCTGCTCACCTTCCATACCATTGTTTCATTCATACTTAGTCTAGGTAGTGGAACCCAGATTGAGGAATGTTTATTGATTTGAATCAGGGTTCTTATATTCATATTTTTCTGTTTCATTTTCCAGTAACTCTGAGGTCCATCTCTTGTTTCCCATTCCTGTAAACAGATTCCTTATACCTGCCAAGTTTAACTAAAAGCAAACTCATGATCTATGTTAAATGTTACTTAAAATCTGCATTTCTCTGATTTCCTTTTCTTACGTAGCTAATTTGAAACATTCTCTGAATTCTAATTCTTATGGTCAATGTTTTTGCATTTTCTACTGTTTGAAAATTACCTGGTATACTAAAGTGAGGCAGAATTGAAACATAGAAAGCAAATATGAGAAATATAAGAAAAGTTTTATTAACTAATAAAGATGACAATACTAACTTTAAATTGTAGGTATTGTATAGTATATATACATTTTACTTTTTTTTTTTTTTAAATAGAGTTGGCGTTCCTAAAGGTGCTAAAGGCTCACCTGTTAGTGCTTTGCAAAACAAGAGAGCACCAAAACAAGCAGAGAACTTTGAAGATTTGAGGAGAGATGTATTCCATATGTTCTGTTACCTTGGTCCTCACCTTTCCCATGATCCCATTTTATTTGCAAAAGTGGTTCGTATAGGCAAGTCATTTATGAAGGAGGTTAGTAAGATTTTTCTTCCAAGCAGAACATGAAGTTTTGAAATGGAAATGTTCTGAGTATATTTGTGTTATATCTCTAGAAATATAGAGTAAACCTAATTTTAAGAAAATGTTATATTGATTATTAAGGTTTGTGTCCTAACAAAATATAGCTCATATTCTCTCTGTTCCCCCACATAGGGAAGTGACAGGTAACTTTTGGACAAGAGACCTCTTGAATCCCCTTGTAATTAATGGTAACTTAGTGTTCTTTTAACTAACGTTTCTTCGAAAAAGAAAAAGCTATTTTTGTCTTGGTTGCAATGTTGAATCATCGCTATCATTTGTGTGAAGTCCCTGCAACTGCAGAATATTGAGGAGCCATTCTTTTATTTTTTAAGTAAACTTTTTATTGAAGTAAAATATACATAGAGAACACAGACCATAATTGTGCAGCTCATCAACTTCTCACAAACTAAGCCCCTCCTGTGCCTACCACCCAGATCAAGAAATAGAACAGTACCAGCATCCCTTGTACTCTCAGTCTCTGCCACTCCCCAAGGATAACCATTTGTGCTATTTTGGGTTTTTTTTTAAAATAACCCTTGAGCTGTAATCTACAATAAATTTTACCAAGGTTAAGTGTACGGTCTGATTAGTTTTGAGAATTGTATGTAGTTGTGTTTCCACCAACACAATAGTGATAGTAGAATACTTTCATCACCCCAGTAAGTTCTTTGTGTCCCTTTGCTGTCAATTCGTGGCTTCCATTGCTGGTTCAAAGCAATCACTGATAATCTTTCTGTCAATATAGTTTTGCTTTTTCTAGAACTTCATATATATCAAATTACATAGTAGGCATGGTACTTTTTTGTGTCTGGCTTCTTCATTTAACATAATGTTCTTGCGATTTATCCAAGTTGTTGCATGGGTCAATAAACCCAAAAACCAAACCCACTGCCATCGAGTTGATTCTGAATAATAGTGACTCCCATTGGGTTTCCAAGGCAGTAGATCTTTATGGAAGTAGATTGTTCCATCTTTTTACTGCAGAGCAGCTGTTGGGTTTGAACTGCAACCCTTCTGGTTAGCAGTCAAATGCCTTAGGCATTATGCATGTGTCAATACTTCCTTTTTATTGCTGAGTAATATTCTATAATAGATACACTGTTGTTGTTGTTGTTGTTACGTGCCGTTGAGTCGGACCCGACTCATAGCGACCCCTCCTTGGATTTCCGAGGCAGTATCACTACAGAAGTAGATTGCCCCATCTTCCTTCCGAGGAGTGGCTGCTGGGTTTGAACCACCAGCCTTCTGGTCAGCAGTCAAGTGTTTTAGGCAGTACGCTACCAGTACTCCCAATAGATACACTCGAGCTTGTTTATTCATTCAGCAGTTTATGAACATTTGGCTTGTTTCTGGCTGGAGCTATTATAAATAAAACTGCTATAAACATAGTTGTACAAGTCCTTTGGTGATGAGGGGCATAGGTATTTGTTTCTCAAGGAGCTGAATTGCCAGATCACATGAATGAGTTTATATTTAACTATATAAGAAGATGCCATACTGGTCCAACAAAGTGTGCCATTTTGCATTCCCAGGAGCAGTGTATCAACTCCACATCCTCACCCACACTTGATGTTGTCAGTCTTTTACATTTACTCATTCTACTGAATGTATAGTGGTATTTCATATTTCCTTGATGACTAGTGATGTTGAGCAGCTTTCTGTGTGCTTATGTGCCATTTGTAATCATCTTTCGTGAAATGTCTGTTCACATCTCTTGTGCAGTTTTTTATTGGGTTATTTTCTTTCTTATTATTGAATCATAAGGATTCTTTTCATATTCTGGATACACAGCCTTTATCAGATAGATAATTTGCAAAAATTTTTCTCAGTATAGTTTGCCTTTTCATTATTTTAACTGTCTTTCAAAATGCAAACATTTAAAATTTTAATAATTCCAGTTTAGCAGTATTTTTCTTTTATGCCTTGTTTTTTGTGTTCTAAGAAATCTTTGCCCACCCAAGGTCTTGAAACTGAAAAGAATACATAATGTCTTTTCAATTATAAAGCAAGAGAGCCAGAACATCTAGAAATTGTTATAACCACAAATGCGTGTTTTCTCCAGTGTTTTGATGATTGTATCTAATTTTAATTGTAGACAACAGTTATCACATAGATAAACTAAGCATCTGTTGTTGATGTCACTCGACATCTGAAATATTTGACTTGGATTTTAATACTTAGCTGGTAGATTAATTTTTTTTAAGGCTCACAAATTTACACTGAGTAAAGGTACTCTAAAAAATCTAAAAAGTCTGATAGGAGTATCCTATTCTGGATATTTCATGCAAGTGTGATCATAGAATATTTGTACTTTTGTGACTGACTTATTTCACTGAACATAATATTTTCAAGGTTTATTCATGTTGTAGTGTATGTTGGGGGTAGGTGTCTGGTCATAAATAAGGTGGGAAGGGTACTAGGATTCACTCACACACTATCAGAAAGAATAGAAGATCTGAGTAGAGCTTCATTTCTTTCCATAGCTGAAGAGAAATTATTGTCAGAACTTCATTTCTGTTCGTGGCTGCATAATCCATTTATATATGTACCACATTTTGTTTATCCATTAATCTGTTGATGGACACTTGGGTTGTTTCCACCTTTTGGCTGTTGGGACTGATGCTGCAGTGAGCATTGGTGTCCAAGTATCCACCTTGGTGCTTGTTTGCATCCAGTTGATGTTAATGCATGAAATGGTTTATGGTAATGTTAGCTCTTACTCTGTGCTAAATCCTATTCCAAGTACTTTACATGAATTAGATCATTTAGTCCTTACCATACCCTTTGCGTTGTAGGTTAAGTAGGGTGTCTCAGGTCACAGAGCTGCAATTTCAATCCAGGCAATCTGGCTTCAGAGGCCAAGCTCAAACCACCATGCTCTACTGCCTATACAAATGTAGCATGTCTGAAATTTTGCAAATCTTGAAATACTTTGCTGTCTTACATTATATCTGTATTAGTAGTGTTTTTGTGTTATCTCTACAGTCTCTCTCTTCATCTCATTTTGTTTATCTCATCTCTTTGCTAGATACAAGTTGATTCTTAATTTTTCCTATGACTTCATATAGGTATGTGTGAAGAATGTGCCTCTGTCCTTTGCATTGTACTTTCTTCCATATAAGTTCATTTGACTTTTATATGCTTTTCCTCCCTCCTTCTGTTCCTCCCCCTCCTCCTTTTTTGGCCACTTATGCTTCCATAGCACTTTTTTTTCATCTTTAATGTGGTCAGCTCTGTTCAGATAGTCTATTCTGTCTGATAGAAAGTGAATGAATCTTTGTACCCTTCCCACCTTATTTGTGACCAGCACCCACCCATCCCCAAACAAGCTACAAATTGAGTATTGGGTTCTGTTTCCAGTCTTCTGTCATCTAGGATGCGAGTGAATGAGTTGAGCTGAAGGTGAGTATAGCCTTATTTAGGGACCCCATCTCTGTTTTCTTTTTTGAATCCTTTACTAGGCCCACCCAGCCAAATGGGTATTTAACTCCCTTGGGCTTTGACTCCTTCACCCATCTCAGCACAGTGCCTTGAAAGACAGCAAACCTTGGCAGCTGGTTCTCCCTTTGTGAATATCCTCCTGGACTTCTACTTGCAAGGGTTTTTCTTGGGCGGCCTACATACCCTGTAGGCCATATTGCCCAAGTGGAGGGTATTCATAAGAAAATTTGTTAGGATGTTGTTGATTTACCTTCTTTGTTCAGTACTACTTCTGAGAATTAGAATGGGGACAGGAGCCATACGATACCATACCAGAATCTTATATTTATTTTTCCCTTGGTCACTACATTATTTAAAAAAGTAATATTTTGTTGTATTTTTGGTGAAGATTTATATAGCCATTTAGGTCTTATTCAATAATTTCTATAAAAGTTGTTCAGTGACTTTGTTGTATTCTTCACAATGCATGAACATTACCATTATTTCTGTACTGGTTGTTCCATTCCTATTAATCCAGGTCCCCTACCCATTTACATTCTCATATTTGTGTTAACATAATTGTTGACTGTTTGGTCTCGTGTAGGTGAGTTTTTAAAATTCTATTTTTTGGTGAAAGTTTATACAGCAAATTAGGTTTTCATTTAACAATTTATGTACATATAGTTCAGTGTCACTGGTTACGTTTTTCACAGTGTGTCAACATTTTCATCATTTCTATTCTGGTTGTTCTGTTTTCATTAATTTAGTTTCCCTGCCCCCCTTCTCATCTTTGCTTTAGGGTAAATCATGACCATTTGGTCTCATATAGATGATTATTTAAAAGAAGCTCAGTACTCATGGGTGACATTGTTTATTTTATGAGCCAAGCAATTATTTGGCTGAATGATGACCTCTGAGAATGGTTTCAGTTCCAAATGTAAAGGGTATCTCAAGGTGAAGTCCTTGGGGGCTCTTCTAGTCTCTACTAGTTCATTAAGTCTGGACTTTTTTAGGAATTTGAGGCTTGTTCTACATTTTTCTCCCACTCTATCCAGCACCATCTACTGTGTCCCTGGTCAGAATAGTTGTTAGTAGTAGCAGGGCACCATGTAGTTCTGCTGGTCTCAGGATAAATGAGGCCCGGGTTCATGTAGGTAATTCGTCCTCTACACCATTTTTTTCCTTTGAGTCTTTGGATTCCTTTGTTCTCTTTTGCTCCAGATGGGTAGAGATCAATAGCTGTATCTTAGATGGCTGCTCACAAGCCTTTAAGACCCCATAGGTTACTCATCAAACTGGGATGTAGAACAGTATCTTTGTGAACTATGTTATATCAGTTACCATTACATTGGGAACTGGGGGAGAAAGATTCTATGTTTATGCTTCACTCTGTCATGTTAATTCAGTTGTCTGCTTAGGTTCTTTGCATAGCTGTTTCTTGTTTGTGTGTGTGTATATGTATAAGTATTTGCCATTTTAGTCATATTTACCTGTACAATTTAGTGAAATTAATTACATTCATCATGCACAAC